TGTCCCTGTGACAGTGCAGCACTCCCTCAGTGTTTCTGCTGTAGGACAGTGTCCCTGTGACAGTGCAGCACTCCTTCAGTGTTTCTGCTGTAGGACAGTGCCCCTGTGACAGTGCAGCACTCCCTCAGTGTTTCTGTTGTAGGACAGTGTCCCTGTGACAGTGCAGCACTCCTTCAGTGTTTCTGCTGTGGGACAGTGTCCCTGTGACAGTGCAGCACTCACTCAGTGTTTCTGTTGTAGGACAGTGTCCCTGTGACAGTGCAGCACTCCCTCAGTGTTTCTGCTGTGGGACAGTGTCCCTGTGACAGTGTAGCACTCGCTCAGTGTTTCTGTTATAGGACAGTGTCCCTGTGACAGTGCAGTACTCCCTCAGTGTTTCAGCGTGCATCTGCTAGTGCAGCACTCTCTGTACTTTATATGGATATGGTCCTGCTGATGTTTGACTGTAGAGAGTTCAGAGGCATGTGTTTGTATTTGGGGAAGTAGATTCCCACAGTGTGACTGTGAGGCGATCTCTTTGTGGAGCTGCAGGAGGACCCGCTATTCCTCCGAGTCCTTGAGCATGGCTTTACACCACATTTCCCCATCCTGTGCCCCCCTGGAATAGTTGGCTCACATCTGTGATAATGGGACCAGGTAGATGAGAGGGTGGTGTCAATGCCCCTTCTCATTCTGTAAAATACAGCCCCTCCCCCTTCACTCAGAGGGCAGTGTGGTGAACATGGTGACATACAGTGTTTATTGGAAGAGTTCCTCACGGTCTTTAGAACGGTGGTGACGGTATTAACACCATTGCATGTCGGTGCAGTGCATCTCCCTGAGGTTGCTGGGATGCATCTTCCTTGTATTGTGTACTGTTCTGCTGCTGAGGTACATCCCTGTCTGAGCTTGCCCACGTCTCTACACCCCGAAAACTTGTTGGGTAAGAATAGCAGCCTGTGGGCCTCCTCAACTGTTATTGGCAAGAGAAATGTGCTGGTAAGGTTTCTAAACACCCATCAGCCTTCTGTGTTTTGTCCCATCAGTTTGAGTATTTTGGAGCGTTGTGAAGGATCACTGTGAAGAATTGTTCGATTCTCAGTGAGCCTGAGTTTTTTTTTAAATTATCCACCCACGAGACCTGGGACCAGCATTTATTGTCCATCCTTAATTACCCAGAGGCTGTCAGCTACAGTGCTGTAGCTCTGGAGTCACACGTAGGCCGGACTGGGTCAAATTCCTCCTTTTGAGGCTGTCAGCAAACGGCATGGCCCTTTCCCCCACAATTTGATGCTCAATTCCAGGTTTTCATGGATTTGAAATCCAATTTTCTGTGGTGGGATCGGAACTCAGGTCCCCACAGCATGACCTGGGCCCCTGGATTCGTAGTGCAGTGATAACTCCAGGAAGCCATTGCATCCAGTCCATGCTGTTGTACTGATCTTGCTTCTCTCTCTGTCTCTCTCTCTCTCTCTCTCCCTGTGTCTCTCTCTGTGTCTCTGTCTGTCCACAGAACCTGGCAGAATGCCCAGCTCGGGGAGGCGATGATCGGCAGTCTCGAGGCCCAAGGCCTACAGCTCGCCAAGGAGAAGCAGGAGTACTTAGGTCAGCTCTCAGTCGGAGGCCAGCAGTTGGAATATTGCCCACGCTGACGTGTCAACGATGCCCAATTATGCCCCCCCCCCCCCCCCCACCCCCCCCCCCCCCCCCCAAACCCCCTCCAACCCGTGACCAATTGCTAAATATAATTGGGGAAAGAGTGGCATGATTCTCCTGGGCATTGTGTGCTTTGGAGAGCTCACTGCTTTGCTGCTTTACTCACCTGAGCTCGGAGAGGCTTCACCTGATGATCCCAACACCAAATTCAAGAGGATTTCTGTTAATCCAGATGCCCTGTTGGGGTCAGTTAGTGGCCTCCTCTGACACCCGCTTTCTCCCCTGTCCCACCTACTCCTGACAGAACCCTAGAAAGGGGTGTGCCAACCATCCAGGGAGGGTTTTGGTCATTAGTAAAATCAGAAAAGAGCTGCAGACTCTGTATGTCAGAAACAAAGACAGGAATTGCTAGAAAAGCTCAGCAGGTGTGGCGGCATCTGCGGAGAGAAATCAGAGCTAACCGTTCTGAGGAAGGGTCATTGGACCCCGAAAGGTTGACTCTGATTTCTCTCTGCAAGTGCTGCCAGACCTGCTGAGCTTTTCCAGCAACTTCTGTCTCTGCTTGTGGCGATTCATCTCCAGGGGACTCTACAGGGGAAACCTCCAGCCGCTGGTAAAGATGACGCACTCACCGGTCACGTTTGAGCCCCTTCCTCTGCCAATGACCAAAATACAGAAGGAGGCAATTGATGACTGTTTTCCCAAGAGTCAAGCTTCACTCTGATGGTGTGAAGGTGGTAAGGTAGAGTGACCACCGGGCAGAGTGTCTGGAACTGGGGAAGGTCACGGTGACAGCATCTCCACTATGTAAACGTAGTTGGCATCCCTTGCCTCGAAGGGTGAACATGCCAGGCTCCAGCTGACAGCTTATTGCCATGAGCACCCTCCTCAAAGGGACACCTTTTAAACCAATCCTCCTGGAGCATGACACGCAGCACTATGTGCAGGAACTCCAGGAGCAACAGCAATGTGCCGCCAACCTTTCCGACCTCCAGTTCGAGATCCCAGCGTCTCTCCTCATCGTATTCCAGGTTTGCACTGGTAATGGAATCGGAAGTCCCCGGAAAAGGGTGACTGGCTGAATATTTGGTTGGGGCAGGGTGGGGGGGCCAGGGGAAAGACTATGCAGCAGCAGCCTTTCAAAAGCGCCAGCATTGACACGATAGGTCAAAGGGCCACATCTCACGTTGTCTCACTCAATGATTTAAAAATAAAAGGGGGATTTTGAATCCAGGGCTTTCCATCCTCTTTGGATCCCTGCCAAGAAGGGGAAGAAACTCTCCGAAGGAGTTGACTGTTCAGAGGCTGGTTCACCATGTCATTATCAGCATGGCCTTGGCAACTCAAGGCAAAACCAGCAATCTCCTGCATCATTGATAATTCCTCTGTGTATCACTGCCATCTAGCTTGGCCATAAAATAGCTTTCGGGATATTTTTGATCTACTCCCGACAAGGGTGCCTGTACTTTTCTTAGACCACTGTAGCAAGCAGTTATTAGCTGTGGGCCTAGACTCACACATCATCCGAAGTGGGTAAGAGTTAGAACAACGTGCACTCACAGGATATGGGCATTGCTGCCTGGGCCAGTATTTATCGCCTGTCCCGCATTGTCCCTTGAGAAGGTGGCGGTGAGCTGCCTTCTTGATCCGCTGCAGTCCATGTGCTGTGGGTTGAACCCCGTCCTCCCATAAATACCCTTAGGGAGGGAATTCCAGGATTTTGACCCAGCAACAGTGAAGGGTCGGCAATATATTTCCACGTCAGGATGGTGAGTGGTTTGGAGGGGAATGTGCCAGGGGTTGGTGTTCCCATGTATCTGCTGTACTGGTACTTCTGGATGGAAGTGGTTGTGGATTTGGAAGGTACTGCCTGAGGATCTTCGGTGAATGTTTGAGCCGAGGCTGTGTGGCCCTGGCAGAACCCAAACTGGGCGTCACTGAACAGGTTATTGCTGAGCAGGTGCTGCTTGATAATGCTGTCGATGATGCCTTCTATCAGTTTACTGAGGATCAAGAATAGACTGATGGGGCATGGGTTGGCTTGGTAGGGTCTTTTGAAGTTAGACCCACAGATGTTTTACAGCACAGAAAGTGGCCAACTGGCCCACTGTGTTCATTCTGGTCAAGAAAGATTCTACTCTGAGGCCATTTTCCGCCTTTGCAAAGCTCCCTGTATTCAGGCTAGGCTTTGCGATAACTCTGAGGGATATTGAGCAGGGGATTCCTGAGCAGCCAGCCTGATTTCAAGAACACTGCAGGAGCTACAAGATGTCTAACCTCACTGTGGGGTCAGCTGAATCAGGAATACAGGCCTCACTGCCCACCAATCCCCCCCAAACACCCCCCGCCCCACTAACTTTACCCCATGCTGTCAAAAAATCAAAAAAGGAGCCCGGGAACGGGAGCACAAATCCCAGAATGTGGTCCCGTCTGCCACGTTTGGAATTCCCGGGAGTCTCGCTGACTCCACGTAAATGCAGGCCGAGACTTTGTCGATGGGACTGTGTAGCTAATGAGTTTTTTTTTTCTCTGGGTAATGGATGCTAATTAATTCATGAGTTGTAATGTGGACTTGGATTTTTTTTTCCCAGACAAATTGATGGAGGAGACGGAGGAACTTTGTCTGCAGAGAGAACAGAAGGCGGTGAGTAAAGCCAAGGTGGCGCAAGGTGCCCCCATGTGGCCCTGTAACCGTTAGCTCACATACTGGCACCTTGGCAATATTCACCCCTCTCTCACCATCTTACTCCTTTCTTCTTTACCTCTCTGTCTTATTTTCCCTATGTCTTTTCCAGTTGTCGCTTGGTAGCGTAGGACTTGAGTATTGCTGAGAAAAGATGTAAGATTAATTCAAATTTTCAAACCAGACATGTTGACTCTGAATTCAGCAGAGCCTGCTGTTAACCATCAATCAGCATTTTATGGGTGCACTCCCCATGGCAACTCCTGTGCCAATTAGAGCCCACCTGCCAACCAATCAGCATTCTCCTATAAATGTTGTTTAATCCCCCCTTAAATTGGTATTCTTGTGAATTGTCCTGATGAGTGCAAGAATGCAAAGCTTCATCAAAATGTGTTTTTTTTCCACAGTAATTTATTTTTAATTTATTCACGGGATATGGGCATCGCTGGCTGGGCCAGCATTTATAGGCCAGAGGGTAGTTTGGAGCCAGCTGTCATTGCTGTGGGTCTGGAGTAACATGTAGGCCTGACTGGGTAACAACAGTAGATTTCCTTCCCTTCAGGACCAGAGGTAACAATCGACAACAGTTACACTAGCCCTTTGTTTTTAAAAATAACAGAATTTTAGAAGTTGAATTCAAATTTCATCACCAGCCAGAGTGGGACTCGAACCCATGTCCCCAAAATGTCAATCTGGTGCTCTAGATTACTAGAACAGTGGCGGTACCATCACACAGGCAGCTCCCCAGCCCTCACACTCACTCCCTTTTTGAGCTACGTTTTCAGACACTGCCTCCATTGTCCATTTTCTGGTGATTCTGGGCAGGACGAGGTGAAGTGTAGATTTTGTGAACCAGGTATTTTTAAACTCCCCAGCGGGAGGGTTAAGGGGACTGGTTGCAAGCACCGTGGAGATCTGAAGTCAGCGTGACATTTCAATCCCGTTGCAGGAGCTGGAGCGACTGAATCAGGTCCTAGAGGTGGAAAAGAACAGGATTGAGGAAATGGTCCAGGACCTGAAGTCGGAGCAGGAACAGATAAAGAGGTAAAGGGGCAGGACGGAGAAGGGATAGACAGAGCGGTGTCAGTCAGTCAGCTCTGGGAGCAGTGTCACTGTCAGTGGGGGAAGGGCAGAGGGAGGGGGTGGGGAGGGAGAGGGTTTGGGAGGGGGCGGAAGGGTTAGGGGATGGGGGCAGGAGGTGGGGTGGAGGAGAAAGGCAGCATGGGGGATGGGGGCAGAAGAGGGGTTGATGGAGGGGAAGGGGTCAGGGTTAGGAGATGGAGGAGGGAGGCAGGTGAAGTGGTTGGAGAAAGGGGTCCATTGTCAGACCCCCTGTCTCACCCCACACTCACACCCATCCTCATCATGACCTGCCTACCAAGCCAAACAGAAAGCACATAGATTCTTCCTTACCAATTGGACAATACTTGGCTCTCTGTCAAACTTGTAGCTGATAAACAGTTACGTTTATAAAAAAATGTTTAAAAGGACAGTTTCTTCCATTCCCCTATGGAATATCTTTAAATCCTGGATATCCAAGCGCTTTCCCAAGCCATTTCCCTCGGTGACCCAATTTTGAGGCTCATTGGCCTCTCTGTGATATCTGAGAGAATTGGCACCTCTCAGAGAGGCCAATCCCAGCCCACGGCCCCATTGGGCTGCCGACCTCCGGCCTTCCAGTCAGCATCAAGAACTGCCATTTTTTTTGCTTATCATCTCTGTCATTCATGGTTTTCTCCCATATTTTTCAAACTCCCCCCCCCGCGCACCACTGTCGATAACTCCCATCAACTGTGTGAGATTTCTGCCTCCCTCTAACCCCAGACTCCCTTTGCCCATCAGTTAGGAAGTGTTTTGCTGCTACTGTACAGGGCCTTGGTGAGACCGCACCCTGGAGTGTTGCGTGTGCAGTTTTGGTCTCGTTTTCTGTGGAAGGATGTTCTGCTGATGGAGGGACTGTAACAAGGGATTATCAGACTGATTCCTGGGATGGCAGGACTGATGTGGGAAGAGAGACTGGATTGATAAGGGCTATATTCACTGGAGTTGAGAAGAATGAGGAGGAACCTCATAGAAACCTACATAATTCTCACAGGGTAAACACAGAAAGAATATTACTGGTGACTGGGAGTCCAGAACTAGGGGTGGCAACTTATGGATGTGGGCGTAGGCCATTTAGGAATGAGATGAGGAGAAATTTCTTCACCCAGAGACTGGTGAGCCTCTGATATTCTCTGCCACAGAAAACAGTTGAGGCTAAAACTCTGCAATTTGAGAGGGAGAAGATAGAATCAGAGGTGACGGTATTATAGCTGAATAAAGGTGACTACAGAGGTATGAGGGAGGAGCTGGGCAGGATTGACCGGAAGAGGAGCCTAGCAGGAAAGACAGTGGAACAGCAATAGCAGGAGATTCTGTGAGTAATTCAGGAGACACAGCACAAATTCATCCCTAGGAAAAAAGAAGCATGGTACAGGGAGGATGAGGCAACCATAGCTGACTAAGGAAGTCAGGGATAGCATAAAAGCAAAAGAGAAAGCATATAACATGGCGAAGACCAGTGGGAAACCAGAGGATTGGGAAGCTTACAAAGACCAACAGAGGGCAACAAAAAAGAAATAAGGATGGAGAAGATTAAATATGAGGGTAAGCTAGCCAGTAATATAAATGAAGACTGTAAGAGTTTCTTTAGGTATATAAAGGGCAAAAGAGAGGCAAAAGTAGACATTGGACCACTGGAAAATGACGGTGGAGAGATAGTGGTGGGCAACAAGTAAATGGCTGTGGAACTGAATAATTACTTTGTGTCAATCTTCACAGTGGAAGACACGAGTAATATCCCAAAAATTCAAGAGAGTCAGGGGACAGAGCTGAGTATGTTGGCCATCACCAAGGAAAAGGTGCTAGTAAAACTGATTGGCCTGAAGGCGGATAAATCACCTGGACCAGATGGACTACATCCCAGAGTTCTAAAAGAGATAGCTGAAAAGATAGTGAAAGCGTTAGTGGTGATCTTTCAGGAAGCGCCAGAGTCAGGGAGGGTCCCAGCGGACTGGAAAATCGCTAACGTGACACCCCTGTTTAAAAAGGGAGTAAGGCAAAAGACGGAAAATAACAGGCCGATTAGCCTAACCTCAGTCGTGGGTTAGATTTTGGAGTCCATTGTGAAAAATGAAATTTCTGAATATTTGGAAGTGTATGGTAAAGTAGGGCAAAGTCAGCATGGTTTCATCAAGGGGAGGTCATGCCTGACAAATCTGCTAGAATTCTTTAAGGAAGTATCAAGCAGGGTAGACCAAGGAGAGCCAATGGATGTTATCTACCTGGACTTCAAGGAGGCCTTTGACAAGGTGCTGCACAGGAGGCTGCTGAGTAAGATAAGGGCCCATAGCATTAAAGGCAAGGTGCTAGCATGCATAGAAGATTTGCTGTCTGGCAGAAAGCAGAGAGTGGGGATAAAAGGCTCTTTCTCAGGATGACAGCTGGTGACAAGTGGTGTTCTGCAAGGGTCAGTGTTGGGACCACAACTTTTCATGTTATACATTAATGATCTAGATGAAGGAACTGTGGGCATTCTGGCTAAGTTTGCAGACGATATACAGCTGGGTGGAGGGACAGGTAGTATTGAGGAGGTGGGGAGGCTGCAGAAGGATTTGGACAGGTTAGGAGAGTGGGCAAAGAAGTGGCAGATGGAGTACAACGTGGGAAAGTGTGAGGTCACGCACTTTGGTAAGAAGAATAAAAGCATGCACTATTTTCTAAATGGGGAGAAAATTCAGAAGTCTAAAATGTAAAGAGACTTGGGAGTTCTAGTCCAGGATTCTCTCAAGGTACACTTGGGGTGGCACGGTGGTTCAGTGGTTAGCACTGCTGCCTCACAGCGCCAGGGACCTGGGTTTGATTCCACCTTCGGGCAACTGTCTGTGTGGAGTTTGCACATTCTCCCCATGTCTGCATGGGTTTCCTCCAGGTGCTCTGGTTTCCTCCCACAGGCCAAAGATGAGTAGGCTAGGTGGATTGGCCATGCTAAATTGCCCGTAGTGTTCAGGGATATGTAGATTCGGTGGCTTATAGGATGATGGGTCTGGGTGGGATGTTCTGAGAGTGGGTGTGGACTTGTTGGGCCAAAGGGCCTGTTTCCACACTGTAGGGATTCTATGATGATGTCAACTTGCAGGTTGAGTCAGTAGTCAGGAAGGCAAATGGAATGTTGACATTTATTTTGAGAGGACTTGAATATAAAAGCAGGGATGTACTACTGAGGCTTTATAAGGCCCTGGTCAGGTCACATTTAGAATATTGTGTGCAGTTTTGGGCCCCATATCTCAGGAAGGATGTACTGGCCCTGGAGCGGGTTCAGAGGAGGTTCATGAGAATGGTCCCAGGAATGAGAAGCTTAACATATGAGGAACGTTTGAGGACTTTGGGACTATACTCATTGGAGTTTAGATGGATGAAGGGGGATCTAATTGAAACTTACAGAATACTGAATGATCTGGACAAAGTGGATGTTGGTAAGATGCTTCCATTGGTAGGAGAGTCCAGGACCCGCGGGCACAGCCTTAGAGTAAAGGGATCTTTTAGAACAGAGATAAGGAGATACTTCTTCAGCCAGAGAGTGGTGAATCTGTGGAATTCACTCCCACAGAAGGCTGTGGAGGCCAGGTCATTGAGTACATTTAAGACTGAGATAGATGGGTTCTTGATTATCAAGGGGATCAAGGGTTACTGGGAGAAAGCGAGAGAATGGGGTTGAGGAACAGCCATGATTGAATGGAGCAGACTCAGTGGGCCGAATGGCCTAATTTCTGCTCCTATGTCTTATGGTCTTGTGGTCTTATGGTAAAACACTGAATATTTTCAAGAAGGAGTCTGATCCCTTCAGCCCTAAGAATTAGATCTAAGGGTGTGGAGAGAAAGCGGGAACAGGGTACTGAACTGGATGATTAGCCACGATCAGATTGCATGATGGAGCAGGCTTGAAGGGCTGAATGGCCTATTCCTCCTATTTTCTACGTTCCTAAGGGCAGCTGTGCTCTCAGCTGACTGGGCGCTAAGCTTCAGAATTAATTCTCTAAACAACTCCATTCTACCACCCCCGCCAAAGCCTCGCACTCTCACGCATGCTCTCCACCGCACCCCTCACTAGCCCATGCACACCCTCTCAAATACGCCCTCTCGCATTCTCATCATCTCTGACCCTCTCCCTATTGACCCCTCACTGTCTCTATCTCTCACCCCCTTCACTGTCTCTACCCCTTGCCCGCTCACCGTCTCTGCCCCTCGTCCCCTCACCATCTCTGCCACTCACCCCCTCTCTGTTTCTGCCCTTCACCCCCCCGCTGTTTCTACTCCTCGCCCCCTCGCTGTCTCTATCCCTCGCCATCTCTGCCCCTCGCCCCTTCGCCGCCTCTACTCCTCGCCCCCTCGCTGTCTCTACCCCTCGCCGTCTGCTCCTCGCCCCATCGCTGTCTCTATCCCTCGCTGTCTCTGCCCCTCACCGCCTCGCCGTCTCCACCCCTCGCCCCCTCGCCATCTCTACCCCTCGCCCCCTTGCTGTCTCTACCCCTCGCTGTCTCTGCTCCCTCCCCATCTCTTGCCCTCTCCCCCCTCTCCCTCCTACCCTCTCCCCCTCTCAGTCTCACTCTCTCTGCCCCTGTCCCCCTTACCCTTTTACTGTCTCTGCCCCCTCCCTCTCACTCTCTCACACACTCTTTCCCCTCCTCTCTCTCTCTCTCTCTCTGTCTCAATCTCACTCTCTCTCCCTTTCTTTAAGGTGCTTCCTAAAGCCTATGGTACCTGACCTCATGACTTGGTGTCAACATTTCCCCAACGTGAACCTCTGTGAAGTGGGTTTGGGACATTCTCATCATGTTAAAGGTTTTATTTAAATGCAAATGATTCACATTAAGTCATGTCCTGTTGATTAATCTCGTTGCTTAGATTAATTTGTTAGCAATGATTATAACGCCATCTTCCTCCACTGTGGCTCAGCTCATCTGATCATGCTTTCACTTGCCATTTGTGAGATCTTACTGTGCAAAAATGGGCTGTGAACATTTACTATATTACATTCAAATAAGGGAGTCGGAGTAGGCCATTCAGCCCCTCAAGACTGCTTACCATTCACTAAAATCATGGCCGATCTATGATTCTGTAATCTCTTTGAATTCCACCGTCCTATCCCTAACAAGAATCCTTCTACTTCCACCTTAAAAAATTTTCAATGATCCTCTCTCCACTCCTTCTAAGGCAGAGCAGTCCATTTTCTCACAACCCTCTGAGTGAACAAAAAGTTCTCTTCATCTTGGTCCTACTAGGGGGCGACCCCTAATTTCAAGCCAGTCCCGCCTAGTTCTGGACTAATCCACAAGAGGAAACATCTTTTCCATGTGTACCTCAAGAAGATTAATCAGGATCATCCACACTTCAATCAAGTCTTCATGTTATAGAGATCTACAGCACAGAGAAAGGCCTTTCAGTCCATTGTGTCTGTCAGTCCGAAACAAGTACCCAGCTATTCTAATCCCATTTTCAACACTTCGCCCATAACGTTGAAGCCTTGAATCACAAATGCACATCTAAGTACTTCTTCAATGTTGTGAGGGTTTCTGTCTCTACCATCCTTACATGCAGTAAGTTCCATATGTCCACCACCCTCTGGGTGAAAAGATCTTCACCCGTCCCCTCTACACCTTCTGCCCCCTACCTTAAATCTATGTCCCCTGGTAATTCATCCCTCCATCAAGGGGAAAAGTCTCTTCCTGTTTGAAATCACTCCGCAGAGGCCAGTATCCATCACCAAGTCACCCTTTATTTACACATGAACAGTCCTTGACTTTAGTCCTGCCTCGTTTCAACGTCAGCTCTCGGAGTGTGTCTCTGACAGCCATCGTTTTATATCAGCCAGGGCTCCTGGATTGGACTAGATTAAGAGCCCCAATCAGGGAACTCGTATTCTGTGAGGCTGCCTTACATTTCAATCACTACACTGTCTACCCTATCCATGCCCCTCACAATATTATACACCTTAATCATATCTCCTCTCAATCCCCTTCTTTTTAAGGGACACAAGCGTAGTCTATCCAATCTCTCTTCATAACGAAAGGTCACCCTCTGTCTTCAAGCCCATTATGTCTAAACTTTCACTCGTTCTCAGTATTAATCCAATAAACCTCCTCTGGTTCGCCTCCAGAACATTGATATCCTTCCTTGAGTAAGGAGGCCGGTACTCTGCCCACTTACAACAGTGACTGTGTTGGAGGATAGAACCGTGCACTGAATTTATTGACGCTTTCGGGCTTGCTGAGGGTGAGCTTGCAGAGTGATGCTACATGAGGGCAGCCTGGGTTGGCAGATTTGCATGCGAGAGGGAGTGGTGCTGACTTTGTCATTGCCCGTTTCAGGGAGCTGGAGGTGACGGTCAGCTCGCTGGCGGCGGTGGAAGAAGAGAAGAAGCATCTTCACCATCTCTCTGAGTCCCTGCAGAACAACTTGGAGGTGAGGCTTTGAAATGGAGTTTCCCTACCTGGAGTGTCAGGGCAGGGTGTAATAGCCTTGGGGTGTGGTGTTCGTCGCCAGGGGAGGGGCGCGGGGGGATGGCTTCCTCGATTCACCGGCTCTGCTGGTTTCTCCCCTCGCCCAGGCGCTGTCTCAGGAGAAGCAGAGGACCTTGGACAGGCTGAAGGACAGTGAGCACCAGGCTCAGGAGCTGAGCAGCAAGAACCAGCAGCTCTACCAATCCAGCGGAACTTTAAGGGCCATCCTCCAGCAGATTGAGGAGGACATGAAGAAACTGCAACATGAGAAACAGCTGGCAGAGGAGAGGTGAGGAAAGGGGGGTGCTGACGGGCTTGGCTTTTCAAAGTTTTCAAAGCTCCCTTTCCCCTCACTTTATACAGTGCATCCAGGAATTTCCCAACTTTTCAGCCACCCTCGGCTGCTCTCCCTCCCACTTTTCCTCCTTTAAGGCACTCCTTAAACTTTTGACCAACAGCTTGTGGACCTCAGACCGCCTCATCAGTCTGGGTGACACATGTTCTTTGCTAACTCTCCTATGGATCTTCCGGAAAGTGGGGGGAGGTGTTAAGGACGCTATACAAATGCATCCCATCATTGTTGCTGCTCTGACTAGGCCCTGCACTTAGGGATAGAATTTGTCGCACTCAGTTGTAACTCCAAACCTGGAAAATACCCTCGGTTTGTTGTCTCCCTTCCAACCTAATAAGTAGACAGCAAAAGGACTCCATTGGCTGGGGAGGTGATGGCTTAGTGGTATCATTGATGGACTGTCAATCCAGAGATCCAGATAATGTTCTGGGGACCCAGGTTTGAATCCCGCCACAGCAGATGGTTGAATTTTAATTCAATAAATATCTGGAATTAAGTATCTAATGATGACCACGAACCCATTGTCAATTGTCAAGAAAAACCCATCTGGTTCACTTTAGGGAAGGAAACTGCTATCCTTACCTGATCTGGCCTACATGTGACTCCAGACCCACTGCAATGTGGTTGAGTCTTAACTGCCCACTGGGCAATTAGGGATGGGCAATAAATGCTGCCTCACCAGCCTGTGAATGAATAAAGACAAAAAAAAGTGTTTCGGCACGCCGTAAGATGCGATAATAAGGCGCTATATCAATGCACGTTGTTGCCTTTCTCTCCCCTGCAGGCTACAGGAGAATGAAAAGAGAGCCTGTGCTCTGCAGGAGGAACGTGAGTTTTATTCCACCCAGTCCCAGGAGCTCCAGGTCTCGCTCTCGGAGCTGACAGCAGAGAAACAGAAGACAGAGAGTGAGCTGAAGGTGACAGCGCATTGCAGGATGGATTAGTCAGCGTGTCCTCCGGGTTTGGAGGGAGAGGGGGATAGTTGCGGGCGTGGGGGCAGTGAGTGCTGTGCTGGTTTTACTGGAGCACCAGGGGGCAGAGAGGTTAGTTTGGGAACAGGATGCTGTATTGGAATGGCAAACTATTGGAGGACCACTCAGTCTACCGTTGGTCTCACCAAACCAGGGGATCGCATCCCCTCCCTCCGAAATCAGCTGCAATCTTAATGCACAGTTCAGCAGTCTCGAGGGGCCGAATGGTCTATTTCTGCCCCTATTTCATACATTGTAAAAAGACCACCTTTGCCCAAGCTGCCTTGCATCCACAGAGTTGTGCAGCATGGAAACAGACCCTTTGGCACAACTAGTCCGTGCCCAGCAGGTTTCCTGAACTGAACTGGGGCCCATTTACCCTCATTTGGCCCATGTCTCTCTAAACCTGTCCTTTCCATGTACCTGTCCAAATGTCTTTTAAATGTCGTGATTGTACCAGACTCCAGCACTTCCCCTGGTGGCTTGTTCCATACATGCACCACCCTCTGCGTGAAAAAGTTAACCCTCAGGTCCCTTTTAAATCTTTCTCCTTTCAACTTAAACCTGTGCCCTCTAGTTTTGGACTCCCCTACCCTGGGGAAAAGGCATTTGCTATTCACCTTATCCAAGCCCCTCGTGATTTCATAAAACTCTACAAGGCCGACCCTCAATCTCCTAAGCTGCAAGGAGAAAGGTCCCAGCCTAGAGGCTCTCCTTATAACTCAAACCCTCCAGTCTCGGTAATGTCCTTGTAAATCTTTTCTTGCACTCTTTCCTGTTTAATAACATCCTTCCAATAACGGGTGACCACAATTGTACACAGTACTCCAAATGTGGCTTTAACAAATGTCATGTGCAGACGGAACATGATATCCCAACTCCTGTACTCACTGCTGTGACCAATGAAGGTAAACATGCCAAGTGCCTTTCTCACCACCTTTTCTACCTTTGACACCACTTTCAAGAAACTATGTACTTGCACCCCTCGGTCTTTCTGTTCGTCATCACTCCCCAGGGCCCTACCATTAACTGTGTAAGACCTGCCCTGGTCTGTCTTACCAAAATACAACACCTCGCATTTATCTAAATTAAACTCCACCTGCCATTTCAGTCTTGGGGACCGAGCATTTGGCCAATTCTCCAATCCTCGGTGAACGTTACGAGAGGATTCTCACCCATGACTCGATGGTTAGCTCCCTCGCTTCTGAACTGAAAGGCGATCCCACTCGAGACCCGAGTACGGGATCCAGAGGCCAAAGGTGCGGCACCCCGCTCAGATAAAAGGAATAACTGAGGCTCGTCTCCTCTCTCAGGAGAATGTGAGAAATCCTGTGTCACTGTCTAGATTGGGTACGTTGTCCCCAGTGCCCTGACCAATGCTTACCCCTCAAGCAGTTTTCATGAAAACAGATCATTCAGTGATTATCATGTCACGGTTACCAGGAACGTGCTGTGTGCAAGTTGGCTGCTACATAACTGCAAATTCCTCATGAACTGGAAAGCACTGTGGATATTCTGTGGACACTATGTAAATGCAAGTCTTCCTTTCTCTCCCTGGAGTCTGTAGCCTCAGTTTTGTTTAGTTTTTCAAAGTGTTCAGTTCTCTGCAATGAATCTTGATTCTAGGAGGAGCTTTTTGTGCAGTATCCTCCTGTGGTTTAATGCATAGAGCCACCTTTCTGGTCTAACTAGACGAGTCTCGTTGAATGAAAGTGACGAAGTTTATCATTTACTGGAATTATTTAGTGATTACATGACGATGACCAGCATTACCACAGGCTGTGATAGGAGCCCAAGTCTGTCTCCTATTGTCTGTCTGGGATGTCCTAGACCCTCCTGGTGATCTCAATGACCATGGATAGAAGGTCTCTAGCCTCCAGCTAGAGAAGCAACTTGTGCTCCAGGTTTTGGCACCTAGGAGGCACTACAGTGCAATTACAAGGCTGAGAGTTTCGTGGACACAAGTTTTTGGACACCGTCACTGTGTCGTTTAAGGAAGTGTAGCAGTGAATAAATGGGTAACCACCAAACAGACCTTGCAGGCAGTGAGGGAATCCCACCCCAAGTGCATCCTGCTCACAAATCAGCATCAGCCTTGGAAAACCGTGAGAGTGTCCGATCCGCCTAGTAGGTCAGCTAGAGCCACGGACATGGCACTGTGCACCAAGCTGCTGGGGAGACGGTAGTGGGAAGAGGAGAAAATGTGGAAGGCCAATGGTAGCTGTTAGTAAGAGTAGCA